CTGGCTTTTTCTGGTGTCACAGTATGGCATTAAACCTTTCTATCTTCATGAAAACCAAATCAAGTGGAGTGTGGAGAGCCAACCCTGCCCACATGCCTGTTTTTCTCGGTATTTCTGAGCTATAAAACCACCCATAATTGAATGAATGTGAAGTAGTACTGTTAAATGTCATACTGTGGAACATTCCAGGCAAAGCAATGACATCGCTATGGAGACAACCAGGTGATGGACCCCCCCACCAAAATGTTACACAGTGCACCTTTAAAGTAGTAGTTGTTATTGCATTTCCTGTTCCATAGTACAGCATAAACTTTTCTGATCCACTCACAGTAAGAATGCCATAATAAACCTGTGATTGAATAAATGCATAATAAGTTAATTCTCATATAACATTCAGGGCAAAATAGCATTTTGGTGGAGGCAGACCCAAAAAGCTACATTGTGCACCTTTAATCAAGAAACTACAGTGTCTTCTATTTAGGTATAAACCTCATCACCTCATCATCAGTATTCAGCCTGACTGGGAATGTGCATATGAAGAATGTAGATGCTGTTGCCTGATAATCTGTCTCACAGGTGAGCTTTTATGGCTGTTTTCAGGTGCCATTAGCAGAGACATCATGAGAAGCTCGAGGATTTTAGGCTAAACTCAAGTGCGGCTCTTACATCTCCCTCCTCGGGCCTTCTCATGCTTGTCGAGAAGTATTTTTGTGATCTGCGTCTTAGCTGTTTGTCTTCAAGCCATATAAAAAAAAATAAATGCATGCTGTGAATTTGACTTCTTTAATGTACTGTTTTAGTTTTTCTCACAATCAGCCATAACCATATTTACGGAAATGGATGGCAAACACACTTGAGTGAAACGTGGCCCATGTCGCAATCAGCACATGGGGTGGTTGATTATTTCCATTCAAGTTGATGTGGCCCAGTCTGTATCCCACACACTCCGTTTAGCAACTTTTCTTTGTTTGAATCATCAGCAATATAATTTTTTGCGACAAGCATTTTCAGAAAAGAACCGGCCTTGCATCAATATTTCAGTCCTTGTTAGCTGCTGTTTGACCTCCTGCAGAAATCATTGCTTTTTCTCTGTCGTATATCTAGAAGAAAGTGGAATGAAAAAGAATCAAAATTCTTTCTCCTCTGTGCTGCATCCTAGCTGCTGATTGATGGGATCACACCCGACCTTCAGGAAAAAATAAAAAGCGTGAAATGATTGGTTTGGCATTGAGGTGAGATTGGAAACACATGCACTCTCACAACGGGGAAGTATTTGCATTATACTCTGCTGCAAACCAGTTTATAGAGTTGCTCAATCTCTGGTAGTGAAGGAAATGCCATTACTGGGTCGATTTGATTCTAAAGATATGTGTAATTGCACTATAGAGTAATCAGAGAGGGAACATTGTAAGTATACGTTATTCCATACACAAGGAATGTATGATGGTCAAATCTATCTACTTTAATGTTTGTGTATGAGTGACTGGTGGTGGTTGGAGGCGCAGATGGCTTCACTTCACTATAGACTCACTTGCATCAGTCTCCACCACTTTACAGTGTACCCCAGGGCAGTTGTGGCTACAAGAATCTTACCTCTGCCGAGTATTGAGTGAATGAATAATGCATCGTAAAGGGTTTTGAGTGTCATCAAAGGTGCTATATACACATCCATTACATTATTACTTCTCCTGCTACTGCTACTGCTACTACTACTACAGCTGTTGCACATTACTTTTAAAAGATACTTATTTTAGTGGGTTACTTAGACAAAGTGGGCTGTAACAAATACTCCTCACAGTTATCTACAGAATTGAATGCGACTATAATTATTATTTCCATATTTTTTCAGTCTGTTAAATCAATTATGTAGCTCTCTCATCAGCGAGCAGCCTGCAGGTACATGTGGTGGATCAGTGAAGATAATCAGCTGTGATTAGGCAAGGTTTGGACTGTGTGAATAATATGAAGGCACATTTATGAATACTGATGTGTTTTCAGACAGGGAAACATAAGATAGCTGCAAAAATATCTGAGCTTACTGGCTCAGGTGTGGGAAAGTATGACCTAAAAAGAATTATGTAAGAGTAGGCTAAGGTACATTTTATTGTCCTCTTAGAAAAAGTTGGGTAGCATTTACGCTGGTGAATAAACATTTAATGACAAATTATTATGAGGAGGTTTGCCAGGGTAATATCTTAAAATATTTCTATTCATTGTTAATATCATTACTGATTGTATTGTTGATACTAGCAGGCTATTAGTGATACTGTGTAAAATATGTATAAAGTGTAAAATGACACTGAAAGACACAAAAGTAGCTATATACCCTTAAAACCTTTCCTTCTATGCCATAATAAATATAATATGAACAACATACCTAATTAATGCATAAGATTTGTCTATTGATGTAGACTATATAATCAATTATTAAAAACACTAAGCTTTGTATCAACACTTGATTTAAAAATTATAGTCAAAAGTACTTTTTCTAACAATAAAAAAAAAGTAAAATAATCAGAAAGTTTTCCACTGACTCTCTGCTGAGATTTTAAACACAGTACCTATTCTTCTACTATTGACAAAACCCATTCATCCCATAAAAGCAGTGTGACAGGGCATGTAATGACACCAGCTTAAAATACTCTGACAATAGGCAGAAAGATAGAGGCCTCTTTGGATAGTGGAAATAATCGTCATGTTTGGATTGTGATAAGAAGGTGTGCAGAATAGCGTTAGTCACGTCACTTTTCTTTGCTTCATTTTGTTCTCAGCTCGATTTTGTCTCTGCTATTAGTTCAGCTGTTGGCGGTGAAGCAGCTTTTCCGCTCTGCAATATACAATTCAATGCAAGATTTCTTACAAAAATACCACAGCGAAATATTTTTTCTCTGCTGTCTGCCTGTGACTGTCTGATACCTGCCGTGATTCGCTTTTTTATTAGCTTTCTTGAGCAAAGCGTTCGATGCTCTACCATAACAACCAGTGCAACTTTCAATGCACAATAGTTTATAGCTGCACGGACGTTCTCTCCGTAGGAATCCATGTATTGTTGTTCAGTTTTACCTCCCACAGCAGGAAAACGTAGCATGCTGTGTGTGTATAGAGATAATTTTTATTTAAAAGTCTGTAACACAATAGCTCTACGCCTAAGCTAAGGAGAGATGTGGCTTTTTAAAATATTTGGGTACACTACTAGTCAAAAGTTTGTCCCTTTTTCAGTGCTTTTTTCTAAATGTTTACTTCTTTCTACATTTTAGATACATACAAAAGACATCACAATTTAAGAAACATGATGTATGGAATTATGTAGCAAAGAAGAAAAATGTAAATAGCTCTTCTGCATATGTTGTTTTATATTTTATATTTAAATCCTCAACATATACACTCTTTGCTTTGTCAAAAAATATTTAGTAGTGTAATTTAATTCATAGTTGGTGTATTATTTTTTATATTGTGTCTCTTTGTAATAAATCCATGGATACAAGCAGAAACCTGCTTTAGAAATAAAAAGTTACATAATGCTCCTTTAAGTGATAAAACAAATTTTACTTGTGTGCAAAACCCACCTCCGTAAATAAACAGCATTTACAAGGTTTGTCAGAAGGTTGTGTCTTTCTTGTCTCCCTATTCAGTATTCACAAGCCAATAAAATGGAATTGTTATTCGAAAAAACACAAAATTGGGTCTAATAGAACCAGTATTGATTGGTCATAACGAGTGTTTTATCCAAAGTGCCACTCAGAGCAGATCTCAAAAGAGTAACATTACTCCAACACTAAGTCCAAGGTCAAACTCTAGACATTTCAATCTTCCACAGACCAAACTCACAACACTGCCCTAAAAGTAGCCCATTGTTAGTACTAGATTTTGGCTTATATTTCCTGATGCCTCAGTGTAATGTTCCTCAGACTATATATAAAAATAAACAGAAAATCAATTTGTTTTGTTACAGGTTTGAAGCAGTCGTAAAAGTAGTGCCAACATAAGGCTTAGTGATCGAAGCGGTCAGTGAAGGGTTTAGAACGATGCATTCATATAGACAAATCCCTTTACTGCAAGCAAACAGCTCCCTGTAAGAAAGATGCACTCAAATCCTTGGGCCAGGAGGAAAATCAGCCTACTCTAGAGTAGGGCTTTTCTAACTGGCACCTATATGTTTACATAAAACGAGACCTGCTTCTTCAAAACGCACTTTATTACTCAATGTAAAAACAAAGAGATGTACATACATTTTACAACATGACTGACAATGAACAATGCCAACATAGTTAAACCACTTGAACAGTAAAGAAATGCAATATGTCCTTAATACAGTGTAGTGGTGGAAATAGAGGGAAAAAAAAAAAAAAAAACTAGAAAAATTGTACTCCGCTATTAATGCCACCCACACATGTTTGCACATACAGTATCATAATGACATTACTGATGCTGCGTTAGAATTAGGGCTATGCACAAAGCAACTGTACAATACAGTGAAATGGGTTTTCAGTATATTTATTTAGTACAGACAAATCAGACGAAAACTGTAGAAAACAATATAGAAGCTCTCTGAGTCATATGCCTCTCTTTGCCTGCCAAACAACCATTTTATCAAACCCCAAGTGCAAAAATGTTGCTGTGTAAAATGCTAACAACATTAATTAAATAGAATGGAACTCTTACAAACATTTTATCCAAAATAGTAAATTCAGCAGTTAAGAACATTTTGTCTTTTGTAACCATCAACCTAAAGTTTTAGTTTAGTGAGGTATAATATGGCTTTACATCATACCAACCTTTTTTGTAATTGGGGTTAGACTCATTTTTGAAATAGAGTTGTTAATTTTTTTTTTTTTTTCTTTTAAAATAAAGTCTTTACTTACTTCACACTCATTGCTATGTTATACCTATAAGGCTTTCCAAGAGGCTTTTGTAAACCATCCCTTACTCTCTCTTTCATAGATATGCTTCTAATTTCTGTCCATTTTGGTACTTCTCACTCCAAGCACATTGTCCCAGCTTTAGCAGTGAATCTCATAGGCCACCTGTGACCCGAACAGCAGGCTCTGACTGAGGAACAGCTCCTCTGGGTCTGTAGTTAAGGGTCCCTCTCCTCCATCACCCGGGTTTCTCCTCAGCCCAATCCCCCCAGACCTGCTCAGAGTCTGGACTACCTCATGATCCAGCAGCACCTCCTTTATCCCCTTCTGCTGGACAAACCCACTGACCATGTGGCACCTTGACGGCCCTGTCCCTAGATTGGACTTTGAGCGGTTGAAAACATACATCTCATGTCCGTCATCATCGCGATATTCTTCCAACTGAGCAAAGCTTGAAGGTCCTTCTGAGTAATCATTCATGTACAGAATCCCCTCCTCTTTTCCTGAACAACAACTCCCGCCCTCTTCTTTGCGGAACTGTTGGTGGCGAGTGTATATCATGATCAACAGGAGAACCGCGGTGAGAGCCAGTAAAGAGATACCAACAGCGATGGCAGTTTGCGTTGCAGGACCTAAAGCATTAAAATCCATACTGTCTTGCTCGTAAAGGGGTTCTTGGCTTATGTCCAAAACCTCAGGCTGAAAGAATGAATTTGATGAAGAGGAGATGAATGCGTTCGTGTTGAGACGTGGCCACAACTGAGAGGAATATGAGGAAGAGGACATATTGACCGCTAAGTGAAAGGTCACTTTAGCAATACCACCGGGATTCCACGCTTCGCATTCGTACCGACCTGCATGAGCCACTGTGACGTTGCTAAGGAACAGCATACCACTACCCGTATCAGGGTCAAAACTGTCTCTCTCTCCACCTTCTTCTGTCCCACGGATAAGCTGGACACTACTGACTTTAACTTTACTGCTGCTGGGTAAGGCAGTCACCACTCCGCCAGTCCCAGGCTTGAAGAAATCTCCGTTGGGTCCAATTTCTTGGACAAGACCTCGTGGTGATAGCTGCGCTTTGCCTTGGGATGCTTTCTTCCATGTAACTTGCGGTTGGGGGTATCCAGAAGCTTGGCAGGATACTCGCAGACTCTCCCCCAGGCGGACCGTCAAATGGCTGGGTTCGAGCTGGACCACAGGGGGGATGCAGACCAGACTGTTGGGGGCGACCTCTACTAAGCTGAGGTGAGAGAGCCGTGGGGGTTCAGAGCACATAAGACGCCGCTGTTCTGCAGAGCTGAGCAGGCGCTGTCCATCCTCACTGATCCAAGTACGCAACCAGCCCAGTGCACAGTCACAGCGCCATGGGTTCTCTGGAATAACAAAAATATAGATTTCAGCAAATAATAACAGACATTTCAAAGAGATGTTGAGGTAAAAGAAAGCTTCTTCTATGTAATTAACCTGCAATTTGTTCAATAATACAACAGCATGCACACAGGAATTAACAATGAGGTTTAAAAATATCTAGAGTGATTCATTTGGAAAGCGGAGGTAAGCTTGTAGTCAGAAATTGTTCTGTTCAAAATGATAGTATTTTCTGGAATAAATTGTTAAAAAACAGAAACGTTCAATAAAAAGATAAGAAGAAACAGGAAAAAGCTCTGAACTAAAGATGAAAGCTCAATTAAAAGTTAACGTGTATTTCTTTTTGGTGCTGTTCATATTTGACTTGAGATTTGTTTGATTGATGTGTTTAATTGACATTTCTTTTTAATAAAAACCTTGTAACTACACTTTGAGTAGTGTTGAAGACTTCCATTCTCCACACTAACAACATCTGTTTGTCTGTCTCATTTTTAATCATTTTCTTGTTCCTGTTTTTTAACAAAATGAAAACATACAGTACAGTATCTACATAAGGAGGAAACCATAGTGACCATAGTGAGAAATCAGTTTTATACCCCTTACCTGTGACTCGGAGCACCTGCAGACTGACCAGAGGGGTGAGGGAGGAGGAGCCCAGCGTGCGGAGGTGATTTCGACTCAGGTCCAGCAGAGCCAAAGAGGACAGACCAGTGAGAGCCCGCTCCGCCAGCAGCTCTATACTGTTCTCCTGGAGGTGGAGCTCCTGCAAACGCTGCACACACAAACAGTAAGCAATAAGAGAGAGGTTAATCTAATCTAATCTAAAATCTAATCTAATCTAAATATATGAAGAGTTAATGTATATGTTTGTATTAAGCTTGCAGGATGGTATATAAGAATTTCACTGCATATTGCAATGTGTGGTACATGTGATTTTGTGTATTTGACAAATACACTGAAACCTCAAAACAATGCAGCTTTAAAATAAATAAATCAATACATAAGCAAAGGTGCAGCGTCAGCAGTGATGCGGTCACTGTATCGGACCATTGTGGTGAAGGGGAAGCTGAGCTGATCAATCTACGTTTCTCCCCTCACCTATGGTTATGAGCTTTGGGTAATGACTGAAAGCACAAGATCGTGCATACAAGCAATTGAAATGAGTTTCCTCTGCAAAGTGGCTGGGCGCTCCCTTAGAGACAGGGTGAGAAGCTCAGTCACAAGGGAGGAGCTTGGAGTAGAGCCATTGCTCCTCCACGTTGAGAGGAGCCAGCTGATGTGGCTCGGGCATCGGTTTCAAATCAGTTCCGGGGCATGTCCCACCGGGAGGAGGCCCCGAGGAAGACCCAGGACATGCTGAGAGACTATGTCTCTCGGCTGGCCTGGGAATGCCTCGGGATCCCCCCGGAAGAGCTGGAGGGAGTGTGTGTAGAGGGTAGTCTGGGAGTCCCCGCTTAGACTGCTGCCCCCGCGACCCAGCCCCGGATAAGCAGAAGAAAATGGATGGATGGATGTGCAAAGGTATATAAGAAGAAACTGCATAAGAACTAAGACCTATAATTCCCCAGTCCCTGTCTAGTGAGACCAAAGCCAAGACTTAGATTTAGACAAACTTTATTGATCCACATGGTAAATTACTTGGACACAGTAGCTCACACATTATAATAGCAAAGTGTAAAAATATAAATGGTAATAATAAATTCAAAATAAGTAGCATATATAGCAAGAGACTGGTGTCAAATAAGGTATAATTATATAAATGTATATATACAAGTAAAAATAAAATATAGAAATATAGTAATACAAATATATCTCAGCTATATACAAGAGGTCGTAAGGAGAATACCAAAAGATTCGTGGTCCGACTGGAAGTTACTCAAACTGTCCCCAAATTGTGGCCTTAGTCCCTATAATTTCTTCTCTGTGTGAACACAAAAATGGGGCTGGTGCTAAAAAAAGTACCAGAAATTGCAAAAAGTTCCTACAGTATCAAATCTCCAATGATTCAATCTAACACAACCTTATATCTAACCATTCTTTCAGTGATTTAGGCTGGAAGTCTGCAGGGCACTGTTGGTTAGCAGCAATTTCACACCTCACAAAATCTTTGGAACACTACAGTAAGCAGTAGACAACTCTATTTCACCAGTCTGTGCCAAACCAGTTAATCATAAGAAATAAAACAGGTAACTCCTTTCGACATCGGAATAGTTAACATTGCATAGAGCATAGACTGTATATATATAAATGGACATAGCTAACCTGATAGCTGCCTCATTCCAAATAGGAAGTGAGCGTGGGGGCACTTCCAGCTCATCAACTCGGTTCTTTTCTTCTAATTGATTTTACGTTGAAAAATTGTCACCCTCTCTCTGTAACTGATGCAGTGAGCTTCGTCATTTTGGTCTTAAAATGTTCATATTAACCTGGTGTTTTTATTTAGTTATTTTATCCGTAAATACATTCCTAATATAGAGCTTGCTTCCAAATTCACCCTTATAACCCTTTGACGTCTAATTGTCAGAGTGGCGACATTTCCATTTTTTTATCAAAACCTCCCTGCACTCTGACATTTTTTTTTTTTTTCCTTGGTTGGAATTAGCTTTTTTTCCCCCAACATTCCATCATTCCGACACACAAGGTAATTATTAAGTTATGGTCGCGCTTTTTTCAGGACAATGTTTTCACGGACTGGTGGCGTAGGAGGTATTGGTACGTGTGGCCAGGTTTAGTCCTGGTTAAATCCTGGTTTAGTCCTGGTTTATACCTGGTTTTAGTCCTGGTTTAATCCTGGTTTAGATCTGGTTTTAGTCCTGGTTTAAGTTTTGGTTTTAGTCCTGGTTTAGTCCTGGTTTGGACCTGGTTTAGATCTGATTTTAGTTCTGGTTTAGTTCTGGTTTAGTCCTGGTTTTAATGCTTGTTTTAGTCGTGGTTTAGTACTAGTTTGAGTCCTGGTTTTAGTTCTGGTTTAGAGGTGAGGTATACAAGGCAAAAAGGTGACTCTCCAAACTATGAGGTTGTCAGAATGGCGATATTAAAGGTGCCAGAATGGAAGAATGTCGGAATGACGGAATGCCGGGATGGGGGTCTGTCGGAGTGGCAGTATGGTGGAATAAGGGTTGGATCCCCTATAACTGTTAGCCTTGTGAACTTAATTTGGAGCCAAAACTTTGGGTGATTTTGCGTTTTCTTTAAATAAGACAAATAATAAAAGGTAAAATTTGTCTTATTAGAAGAAAACAAAACATGGCATAGATAGACACATGTGTATACTAGTAGTACTTTCCATTTTTCTCACCTGTAGCCCCCTAAAGGTGTAGTCCTGCACTCTGGTGATCTGATTCCCGGCGAGGTAGAGGATACGGAGATGCTCCAAGCCACGGAACATATCTGGACTGACCAGGTGGATGAGATTTCCATTCAGGGCTAACTCCAGGAGCTGTCCCTGACTGGAGAAGGCCCCGGGCTCCAAAGCAGAGATACTGTTGTTCTGCAGGTAGAGGTAATGAAGTTGGCCCAGACGGGACATGTCCTGTAGCCGGATCTGCGTTATCGCATTGTCCTGGAGAAATATAGTCTTTGGAGAGGACAGGGGGAGATTGCGTCAGTCATTTAAGATAAACTAAACTGCTCAAGTACTTAGTGTTTCAGTGTGTATTGACTTTATGACAAAAGTTGAAGGGAAGATAACACACCACTGCTGCAGCTATTCATTTGTATTCAACAGGGCTTTAGCTTTGATCAAATTTAGCCTTGTTCATTACTTGTAGATGGGTAATATATGATGTGGCGACAGCATGTGCTTTGATGAGATTTACACCTTATAACAAAGTTGGAAGGACAATCTCGTTTTAAGGTGATTTCTGCCTTTTTCAAGACACTTTCAGCCGTTACACGTCTCGTAATGATGGCCTTCTCCTTTTGATAATGATTAATAGTGTCATGCTTTAGATGAAACCTTTTACAAATGACACCTTATATAGTGAATGTGCACTGAGCTTCACGCTTGTAATATTATTGGCGGAGACAATGCAAGCTGTGCCGTGCTATTGCTCTTTTGTCTCACATTTTGTCTGCACTTGATGAATGCTGCAGAGACAACAGACCTGCCACATGTGCTCTGAGTCTGCTCCACAATGAAAAGTTGTTTGGTTGACTGCTAATGTTCCTAATGTTAGAGCTGAAGCACGCCCCGGTCATGAGGTATCAGGCGTGATGATGGGCCATATAAACCTGCTGATTGAGGTTAATGGAAGAATTTATGCGTGACATAATTTTCATTAATATTTATAAGCGGCAATAATGTTGGGGCCCTGAACTTGTGCAGGAGAAAAAAGACATGGGTGTAATGTCGAACATCTTCTCTATAGATGATCACTGGGAGAGTGTGAGAGTCCTATTTGGAGGGAGAATGAATAATTACACAGCCAGTAGAGCGGCCCCTCCCTCCAGCGCACATCAAAGAGGGTCATGGAGGATTGATTAACCACAATCATTTCAGGCTAATAAGAATGGATCAGAAAGGAAGTAAAGTCATGGACGCTGTGTTGCCAGGTCAGAAGAAGTTGGGTCCAACTTACAGTAAATGCATTTTCTTTTTGAGTTGAGAAATAATTTCAATCATATATTTTACATCTACACTATTTAAGTTCACAGTCTCGTTACTGAAAACCGTAGTAAAAGAAGCCTGCTGTTATGCCTCTGTTGCTGCCTGGTAATTATAAGGCTACTCAGCATGTGTTTTATGTGGTACACTGAACATGCCACATTATGATAGACAGGAATATTGCAGTTGTTTGCTTTAGACATCTACTGCAACAGCAACTAAACACCATAGGCAAGAAACATAAATACATATTTTTGCGCAGGCTTTTAGTATCATTACTAATTTAGTGCTCTATTGATTATGTTTAAAGCAAACCAGTGAACCCTTTATATTGAAGCCAGTTTGGCATTTGACTAAATAGATATCTACTTGTAATGACTATGGACAATAGTGGTGGCTGTGGGCTTTTTATGGGTCCACTAATTGAACACATAATAATTACAAACAATAATCATTCAAAATAATGTGTTTGGGCTTTCCCGTAGCTTTAATAGTTTGAAAAACATTTAAAAGCACTACATTACAAGAAAAGCTGATCTGGGTGTAGACTGACTGAAATGTGACTTCAATTGTGAGCCAGCAGCCTCTCCTACCTCCAGCAATCTTTCCCACACCAATTTCACAGGCACAGTGGGTTTGGTGTCTTGCCCAAGGACACAACCAAAGTATGCTTTGGTCAGACCTGGCATTAAACCATCAACTTCTGGTCTGCTGCCTGAGGCCCTGCACTTCAAATGGCACCAATATTATTATATTCTCAAATATTGACTTGTGACTCTAATACAACAGGCATATGGTACATCATGCCCCACTCAAGGTTGCCTGTATACCTCTACGGGCGATTCACTTTTTTGAAAGAGATATTCAATATGAAAATTAATTTTCAATGGAGTTGGTTCCACAAACTTGCTTTTTTAAACTTGTGGCTTTAGGTATTTTCATCTGAAATATGTCAACACATTTATTTCGAAACTACAGTGTAAATATTTCCACCTTCCACCATTTGATTGATAAACCAGGCCAAAACCTTAATATTTGACAGTTCTAAAGGAAAATACTACCATCTGACCTTTTCTTACATTGAAACTATAGACAGTTTTCAATGTTAACATGTCACATGGACCCAACCTTCCTGTTTCTCTCTAACCCCACAAGTCTATGCTGAGACATGCCACTCTCAACACAAGGACTGACCTCTGTCACCATGGGAACGCCCTGTGGGATTTCTTTGATCCCGATGGAGCCACACTCCACAGTGAGACTGTAGCATCGACAGCCGGCCGGACAGCCCAGCACGGGTTTGAGTAGGCAGGACCCTCCAACCAGCAGAAGGGCCACGATTGGAGGGAACATGGTGTTTTTCCTCTGCAGTATTTCCTAAACACAACCTGATGAGACAAAAGCAGAGGAGAGACAAGTAAGCATGAATCCCTTGGTGTATTTGTGCCACGGTAACAAGCTGTTTTTCTTATGGAAATGCCTCCGCCGCCCGCCTCAAAGACTGACAAGCTCTGCAGATGTTTTGTCCATTGGCGGATGTCTGGGAAATGACAAGGGAAGATTGATAAAAGAAAAGGAGAAGAAGAAGAAAAAAAATGGTGAGACACATAAGGCTATCTCATGCCTCATTCCTGGCTGTTTTCAATTCAAGTGTGTCTGCTCGAAGTGCAATTGCAGAGGCTTCTATTATGGGCTTCAATTAATTAAAGATGTGATAAAAGATGTGCAGGTTGCCTCAAGGACCTCTCTCTTGTCAGTTTAATGCATGCACAAACACACACACACACAGCCTCTCCTCCTTCTTATTCTTCTCCTGCCTTTGTTTCCTGTGACACACACTCACACACGCACACGCGCTCGTACACATGCACTCACACACATACACACATGCACACACGCTAACTCACTTCTATTACTTGTGGGGGGCATGACACACTTACATTTATTTCCGGGAGACATAACCCAGACCTAACCTTCTCAACAAGTCTTCATCCCAGTCGTTAAGGAGATTGTTCAAAATGTCAGAAACAGGGCAAAACAAGATTCCTATAGAGATATATATATATTGCTAGATAAGTCATAAATATAAACTGTGGGGTTTCAGGCAACAAAAAAGGCACAGACATCATACTAAGCAGCATAGTAATACTTGATAATGAGCTATGTTTGTGCAAGTCCCTGTGGCTTTTTCGCTATTCTAGAGATATATTATAGAGCACAGATTAAGCTGCAAAAGAGGTTTAATGGTTTGAGTCATTCAGTATGTAGTCCTTTGGCGTATTTACAATGCTTTCAGAAACACAGTTTGCACATACTTTTTTTTTATTTTTATTTTTTATCTCAATCAAGATTACAATTGCAAGTTGTTGTTTTTACAGAAATATACACAACTGTTTTTTGGGGCAGCATTTCCAGTTTCTGTTATCCTCTGAAATAACTTCTGCAATTAAAGACCTGGGCAGCACCTAATCTACCACCTGCTTTCTCCCCCACATTGTCGTTCTCTGATTAGTTGACTAACTCCTGATATTATATTTAACTGGCAGGACCTGACTAATTTCTCTGTCCAATACCAGGTGAAAATTGTGTAGTCAGACCAAGATTGTCCTCTCCAGTCACAATAAGAAACCAAATATTGAGTTGATTTCATGGATTCATTTCCATTTTTGGCTATATAAATAGATTCTTCAAACCTAGCTGGAAAAAGTCAAGATTTATTTATTGCATTTGCATCTGACCCTCCTTGAATGCCGCCTGGGCATCTTGTCAGAAGCAATGGGCGCAACAGTGCAACACCAGGAGCTTGGTGAGGACTACCTTAGCTGTAGGACTTTTATATTGTGTATAGTGGGTTCATGGGGACATCTGTCTGGAGAAAACCTGTCCAGACACAGAGAGAAACATGTAAACTCTGCACAGAAAGGCTTGAGTGAACCAAGAATGGAACCTGGAACCTTATAATTCAGTCTTACATGATCTGTTTTCTCTGATCTTTACAGTTACACAAATTTAGTCTCCATTTGGCTTGATGGATCTTAAGAAACCAATCTGAGATCTGCAGACCTTCAGTTGTGACCAGTAGCTCATTTTAATAATCTAATCAGATACATTGGCTTGCTCCACCACACTGCTGCCTCTGATATCAAGTCGTCGCAGAGCCATGTGTGTTTGTCCCATAGTGCCTGTAGGGATTCAGCGTTCTGCTTGACTGTCCACATCCGGGAAGCCACTTGTTCAATAAGCCATCAGTGTTGTTTATTAGGCTACAGATATTGGATTTTGGAAATAATATGTGTTGGGATGTCAGGCTGAGCCATTGTGCTGTTTCTTGCCTATACATTATTCCAGAGAAGTCTTCATGTGGCACAAAGAGAAAGCATACGCTGCATTGATCCAATTTCTGGAGCCACATTGTGATGAAACATTCATGTGTGCCATGCCTGTGGATCCTATTAAGCATGTCGGAAATTCTTTTGTTGAATTGTCTTTATTGCTTTTTTCACAGGCAAGAACAGGGACCCAAGACAGAGAGTAGCACTGGGGTTGAACCACCAATTGGTATCGGGGCAGCTTGTTATATGTTCTATCTCATACAAAGCATTCAGTAACTTCCCTGACCTGTGTATTTGAACAGTACAGATTTTGTATTATTAGATAAATAGGACCAAAGATACAAGGTAAAGTCACAATGGACTGGAAGAATAATAGAAACAATAAATAACATAGCTGTCATAGTTTTGTGAGGGGTGAATTTGCTATAGACTGGAAGATGAGTGTTTAAGTCCATGTCAGGTATTGCGAGATAGTATCTAGGCTATACTTTATATTCATGTTTCCTTTTGAGATACAAATTGCTAGCCAAAATAAATAAAATGAAGGGGGTTGCATTTAAAACACTGCAGTGCACACCCCCGGGGGCATAATTATTTGTTGTGTTGACCCCTGTCTCTTGAATATTTTAAATATAATGAGTTACTAATATTAGAACAGATAAAAAATGATTTTTCCAACCAGTGTAGCCAAAGTTTCTGCTTCTTCACAAATGTGTTCTCAAATTTCACACAAAATTGATGACATTTACAGAGGAAACTGCTGCGATCATCTTGTTTATTAATTACTCCAAATGCATACAGATTTCATTACTGCCTGGTGACAAATAGACACTGCCCTGAAAATAAAGCGCGTCTCATAAATATTAATTTGGCACATGTCTGACTCCTTGTGTGTCAGATTGATACCGTACATTTATTATTGTAGATTTATAATCCCAGAGCTGTAATTTCATGGCTAAGGGCAAAACTGGCATGATGACCACAATGCACCACCAGGGGAGTTCTCTCCCATATATTATTTAAAAACAGGAAATGAGCCATTTTAAATATTGCATTTTGAATCAGTGCATTTACTTGGCAGAACGGCTAACTAGATTAATACAATGTGACCTACATAAGCCGCTCAATCACATTCTAACACTAAAAAAAAAAAAGGAAAAAAAGAAAAGAAAAAGAGAGAAAAAACTCTAGCTTTTATTAACAGAAGCATACCATTTCCTTTTCAGAGCTCCCCAAACAAGCATGGAAAGGAAATTAATTATATTTCTATTGTGGGCAAATGAAAGCACAGAAATTGAATTTTAAATAAGGCCTTGGTCTGTCATTGGGCTTTTGTTCCAGCTGAGAGAGAGGACTTTTAAAGAGCTGGGAGTGTTGGAGCAGTGTGACAGAGGGAACAGGGATGAAGACACTTGATGCCTGAGGCTAAGAATACACACACGCGCGCACACACGCACACACACACACACACACACACAAACACACACACTGTGCAGGTGCTGTTAGCGACACGCGACACACCACGGGACCTCTTGCCAGTTGCAAGCATCACTAATGTATTGTACTGATTAAGGCTGGTAAGCTCAGGGCTGCACAACATCACTGACAGTCTGTCATATATTCTGACATCAGCAAATGTAGATTTCTATCCAAATGCACTGTAATAATACGATGGGTAAGCCCTGTGTGTGTACATGTATAGTTCAGTATTGTAGACAGGTGCTCGTTGGAGAGGGCTTCTTTTTAACTTGAAAATATTTATTTATATTAAGTGATGTCTGTAGGGTAACATCTCAAAAATGCAACAAAAACAACCACAAAAAACCCAAGGCACTCCATGTGGTTAGAAAAGTGAAAAAGCCTTTATTGCAGCTTGGCTATTAAGGTTAAAAACATACGCTCCAATGCATTTCGGTCAACATAACCTTCATCAGGGTGCAAGGACCTTTGAGACTTTACCCTACAGGCAGCTACTTAAATATTTTCAAGTACTGCAATAGATTCTTTGTTCTAGATTTTGAAACATTTTGACAGTGACGATAATGTCTGTGTATTAGACCTGTCACGATAATTACTATATCGACTTATTGTTCAATACAGGACAAATGGATTTATTTTGGGGGGTCAGTATTTACTGTGGGTAATTTTTCTTTGTACTAGAGGAAAGATTGTGGTTATTTCTTTGCACTTTGATGAGGTTTGAGCTGTAGATGGTTGAATTATGAACCTATATGATTCATAGATACCAACTAACAACTTATAGTGTTTCATTCTGCTATTGACTTATTGCAGCTCATATTTTTTTTAACACTATTCTAGCTTTAGAATACTTTTTGGGGGATACTTCTGTTTTATGGTTTGGTTTCAGTATTATAGTCTATCATCAATATTTTACTACAGAAATATATCACCCTTCAAAATGTATTAGCTTGACAGGCCTGTTTATGCCTATAGGAATTCTCCACATGTTTCCACTTCAGTTCTGAATAGTGAAAAGAAACATTGCATGATTTGAACCCATGGTTTGTATGTTGTTTTCCTCTGTACTCTGTAGTTTGCACAGTACGCTAACCCTCTAGATTGGTACACCTGACTGTGGTCCAGGCTGGTCTTGTATAGTCAAAAAGCGTTAAATCATTATTTGACATTTTGTTCATTGTAATTGTAAAACTATTGACTTGTAATCAATCTAAAACAGCTTCATTAAAGAAAAGGATCCATCAACATCCTGTTCCAAACTGCAGAACTGACAGGCCCTACCTCTTTCACACTATTACAAAGCAGATTTTTATGAGTTTTTAACTTATTGAAAAGGAGCTAAAAGGTATTTCTGAACCCAGATTCTGATTTTTGGATTATCACAAGTAAGCACAGAAAAGTAAGAGGCGATAAGGGGTGTAAATCGATTTTTATTTTTATTTTTAGCATTCAAGCCCTTGGTTATTATGATAATCTGTCTCCTATAAATTGTGCAGCACCTTTATCGCAAAGAACATGCATGTCCTCCATGTAAATGTGTTT